CAGCTTATTGAAATAAAGATGAGGAAGGAGAAAGGATGGGCAGGACCTTTGGCTGGGATCTGTTAGCCCAACTTCAATAACATCTTTAACCTTCTAATGGATCTGCTGCCCAATGTCCAGAAAAGCAGATCCTGTTGATGTTTCTGATTCCATCCACTGAGTGCATTTCCAGGGACAGCACACCCACCTTTGCAAGGACACCATGGGCTGCTTTGAATCACTGCACAACTGCAGATGAGAGACTGTAACACACGATTTGAAAAAACCTCCTGCCAAACTGAGATCACATCCCAAGCTCAGCACCAAGGTACAGTGCTGTTTGTGGAGTAAATCACTCTCCAGGTCTAGGACCTCCCAGGAAACTTCCCATGGCAGATAAGTGAGCTTGTTTTATGGCACCACACAAGATTAAATGTCAAGCAGAGTAATTATACTGGAGCAAAAATAAAACCCCTCTACGCTATGAAGAAGCTGCAGAAGTATATTCCTGTGCCTGTTCAGGACTCATTTCATGGGTGATCTGTGTCAGGAACAACCAGAAACTGGGAACACACCAAGATCCACCTGAGACCTCACATATTCCAAACTGATGCAGTCTCATGGACAACTGAAGCAATAAGGAAAGAGAGAGAGATCTCAGTATAGAGTAAGATGTAGATCCTGAACTTGTTTTTCCCTATGCACGATCTACTAACAGCAAAGACTGCAGGTACATCTGAAAGAAAACTCAGCTTTTTTTTCCTGTTCTAAATTCCATGATAAGGGTGAATAAACAAGTTCCTTTAACCTGCTGGTTCCACTGCACGTTCACTCACTAACACATCCCAGAACATGCAGAACTGTAGAAGCATTAGAAATGGTAAACAATTATTTAAGCAGCAATACTACATTTCATTTTTTATTCATTAAAGTTTTTGATGTTTGCATCAGGCTTTTGACTTTCCAAAGCTATTCTACATCAAAAATCATTAAGACCTCTAAAAATCTATCACAAGTCAGTTTACAGAGGACATTGATGTCTTATTGCTATCCATTCCTCCTGGACCATTTCTAACAATTCATTTTTTATATTCCTGCAGTGCTGAAATATGGTTCATACCAGTATCTATCCTTTTAGTAATCACCAAAGCAAAACTTGGCAGTTGTCATATATTGCACTCTTGAGAAAAATGCTAGTAATACTCTGAATTGATTGAACAGCATGGAATCAGAACTAACTGGCAGAGAAACCATTAAACTGATTTCAATCCATAAATCTCTTTTCTCCTACCATTTTAGTTTAGAAGCTGCTGAATGTAGCCATTATCTTGTGATGCATTGAATGAACCAATTATTTATATGGATATTAATTTAAATAATACGTGATTGCATTCATGAATGCCCCATATGAGCAGGCAGATGTATGGATCTTGGTGAGTAACTTCCATTTATGCATGGTGAGCTGTAGAATAACAGTCCTTGGCCAGCAGACATCAACTCCTTTTATTTCCCCAGAGGTCAACATCAGGTATAATGTCCTTGCTTGCCTTAAAAATAAAGTGGTTTTAAACAGAACTGTACCTGCTTTAGGCAACGATTTCAATCCTTGAGTGTGACCTAAAATGACTCATAGGACATAAGGTCACTGATGTGACAAGGTTTAATTACTTGGCAGGGATATACTTGATGTCTAAAGCAAATGCTGCTGCTCAACATGTTTTTAGGAGAAAAAAGAAAAAACAAGTATGTCCAAGAACTGTACTTGAGTCTTAAAGAATTCTAGAAATGGGGCCTTTGAAATTAAGTCCACAGAGAACCAGGAGACCAAAGACAGATGGGCTACAGAAAGGCAAGGGACAAAATTTGGGGGACCAAAGGCAGAGCTCTTGCAGAGGTGAACTGAGGAAGGTATCCCAGCAAAGGACCAGGTCACTAGGAAGTGGGGTGGTTTGTTCATCCACCACAATCACCCATGACAGGCTGGATGATGCTGGATGCTTTGGAGATTGAAACCCAAGGTGCTTCCTGCCTTAATTTAAGATATTCTGTTGTGCTGATTGCTTTGGTGCTTTAGGGAAAAAGAGCAGAGAAAGTAAAAGGGTTCTGTTCTTTGTGACATGGAGGAGTGTGATTTGCAAATTAATAAGGGTTGGCATTGTTTGTCAGAAAGGGCTGTTTATCTGAAATGGGCTGCTTCTAAATTCATTAAAATGGATAACCAAGAGACAAAGCTGGGCCTGAGAGAGAACTGGATGGGACCTGTGGAGTTTCCTTAAAAGTAGCATTTCTTCTTCTGCATGTAAACTCATTAAGTATCTTGTGCTGAGACTCTGGATCTTGAAATCCAATTATCTGTATCAATGACACTCAAGACTTCAGGACCTGCAAAGTCACTTTCTCAGGAAACGGAGAATCCCAAATACAGAATAAGAGCACAACTCAGAATAACATCTGATGGTGCTTGAATTGTGTGACCTGGTACTGCCCTGAAATCCTTGGGCAGCACAAAAAGCAATATACCACTGCTCACTGCAACCTTCTTGCAAAAAAATGGATCAAAGAGGTATAAATATTTGGCAAATAGTACTGCCATCCCTTTTACTCCTGAATGGAATGGGAAGAATGTCCTTCTCAGCCTCAGACCAGAATTAACCATTAAGTCACCTGCTTTGTGACAGGCCACAGATGGGGCTTTTTTTCCCCTTCTAGGCTGCAGGGTAGGAAAACAGTGATGTTATCCTTCATACCCTCCTGTCACACCATTTCTTATCTTAAGGAGAAAGAAAAATATTGCTTCATTTATTTCCAAGCAGTCCAAAAAATTGTAGGAAAGTCTCAATCTGGTTTACTAAAAGGCTTTCACTACTAACACTGAAATAAACTGTCTAAAGGAACTAGAAAGAGATGTGCTTAAATGGAAACCTTAGACAAAAATTCTGTCATGGAATGGAACTTTCCGTCTGCCAAGGAGAGAAGGGAGAACTAAACAGGTAACTGGTTTACAGACATTAAACAATGCTTCCCACTAAAAATGAAGCACAGGGGAAATGAGTGGCAAGGTATGGAAGGGGTAAGAGGAAATATTAAGTCAGCGATCGCAGATTGGTCTTGGATTGTCTTCCTTTGGGTAAGCCACTTCTGTCCCTCATAAGGTAATTTCCAAAGTGAAGCACACAAAGTAGATATGTTGCTTTCAAAATTAAATAAAATATTATTTATATTAATAAAATATTATTATATTTATATATTTAATATAATAATTAATAATAATTAATTATATTTATGTAATTAATAAAATATTATTTATATCTATATAATATATTATTAAATAAATATTTTTCAAATTCAGATGAAACTGAGTTTCTAAATTAATAGCAAAAAAACCTGTTAAGAACTTGAAGTTACTGTTCCAGGAACAAGTGAACTGAGTATTTCCTTCCATCTTGCTCTCTCTTAGAGCTTGAGTCTCCTCCCAGCCCCTTTTCCAAAGGAGGTTTATAATTGTCACTGTGTGCAAGTAGCTCTCTCTGTTGTTCACTGTGCATGTAAGCTCGCTTATTATAACTTTGATTTGAAACCACATCAAATCCCTTTTTTATTTATTCATCGTTTTCCTTAGGATCAGTTCCATAAAACCCTTTCATGTACAGCATAATCACAGTTAAGTCCTGTCCAAGAAATTCCCTGGCTGCCACAGCAACTAGTTCAGAACGCTGCGAGTTGAAGTGCTTCAGCCCATATGAACCACACCTCTATTTTTAACATACAAAAAAATTACCAAGGAAATGAACACAAATACACTACCTGCCAAATCAAATCCTCAGTGAAGCCTTAACTATGAAGAAAGTTTTATTAAGGCATCAAAATTGCAATTTCTTTTCTCAAAAGATTATTTTGATTTAACCATTTTTGAAACCTCTCTAAGACAAATCACAACAAGAGCAAATCCTGTTCTTGTAACGTGATAAGAGGTTATCAGAGGCAGCAAAAACTTCATCACTGATACAGCATCTCTTGGTTTGTCAGTGCCTCCAAATTTTATCAATAATCAAACATTTGCTTCAGTCTGAGCCGGTAAAAAAACCAACCTGAATCCTTAGAATTGCTGAAGACACTGAATATTCTGAACCTTCTGCATATGACTCACTGACAACTTTCACATTCTTGTGAAATTTCATGTTTTGTCATTCTGTAATTTATACATAACATGAAATGTGTAAGCCTTTATGTACATAGCAGAGTCATTAAAACTCTTGGTGGGTTTTTTTGTTTTGGTTTGGTTTTTCGTTTTTTTGTATCAAAACTAAAAACCCTCACGCATTTCCATTTAAAAAGCAAAACATCAATATTACTCTGAAATTCAGGCCAGAGTTGGAAGCATTACTGTCCTCCAGTAATAACAACACCACCATTTCAGCATTTCTGCAATGAAACCCACATCAGCCCACATTCCAATGTATGTACACATGAGCCACCAGAACTTCCATGGGAAGTACGGAGCAAATTCCTACAATGTCACGCTGTTTCCAGTGGACATCTCATTTGTCATGACAAGGGAAGATAAATCATTTTGAAATAACCTTTTGTTGGAGTCTCTGCTTGCTCTGATATTGCAATTCATGGTGCCTTTTCACTTGCATTGATCTGTAACACAGGTTGGGTAAGAGACAACTGCCTGCATGGAACAAGCAATAAATACTGTAAAATACCCTTTTAGGCATCCCAACATAAGAAAAGCAACACAAAACCATTATAAATGACCAAATATTGCCAAGACTGAGAAAAGGTTCAAGATATTTTATGTATAAAGTAATTTCAGAATTGAAATATCAATCCTTCAGATGGATAAACAGAATTGATTATATCAGTCATTTGAGGAGTATCTTTAAAACACTCTACATTGTAATTCTGCCTTGGAGCAGGTAACAGTAAATGCTTTAGAAAAATAAAATATAACAAATGTTTTTTTAAATCTACTAACTCCATTTATTTTATACACCAGAACAGGAGAGACCACCTACCTTTCTTCCCCCTGTGTTTAGGCGAAGAGGAGTTAGGAAGGGATCAAAAATCATATGGCTGGTTTCAATATTGACAGGTGACTGTCTTTTCCCAACAGAGCAAAGATTCCAAGCTGAGTTCACCAAACCCCAAAAGGAGGGCACTGCGAAATATAAGAAAGTGCAAGTTTAAGGGAAGTCTGGAAAGACTGGGGCAGTACATGCCAGGCAGATGGCCAGGTAATTAAACTTGTCAGATTGTCTGCACACACACTTTGAAACTGAAAACAGACAAATTCATCTTGCATTTGAAATTTAAAACTTCACACAACAAGACCAAAACATATGGTTTCATGTAATTTTGCATCAGGAAAGGTGGGTTACTTCTTTTCCTCTTAGATATAATCCCGGGTTCAATAATAAAAAGCTCCTTTGCTATTACAGAATATTTACAAAAATAAAATTTAGGTTGAGAGAGCCTGGTTTCTCTTGATTAATTCCCCCGTTGTGTTACTGGTGTTATTTTAAAAAATGAATTAATGAAACTGTAGAGCTATAGAATCAAAGGGGGAAATATTACCTGGGGAATTTGTTGCTTCAATGGTTTCTAGTATTACTTAAAAAAACTCCAACATTCTGGTCAGAAATATTCCTGGAACTGGTAAAAAACAAGTCTTTAGCAAGTTTTTAAATAAATAAAAAACCTAGACAATGTCCAATAAAACAGCAAACCAAACATGTCAGCCCATTATCTTCAAGTTGATAGCAAAACTATTTATGACGCAACTGGGATTGACCCAGAAAAGCTGCACTGGAGAAGAGCTGCTAGGAGGGGTTATTTTATAATGTTATTCCTGCTTCTGACAGGAAACCCTGCATTCTGTGCCATGCCTGTCACAACAGCCTGGAACTTGAGAAGAGGGAGCTGCAGAGTTGTGGCATTGCCCAGCAAAGGTCACAGCTGTCATCAGACATGTGAGTATGAGCTGAAATCTTTGATTCCTCTCTCAACACCCCAAATTAAAGCTCCAGGACCTCTCCAGTCCTGTTGCTATTTCCATTCACACAAAGAGAAAAGTTCCCCACTGATCAGAGTGATTTGGCCTGTGCTTCAGCCCAAAATTAATTGACTGACTTAGGACTGCACACCTAAGCTGACCAGAGAATGGGGATATTAAGCAATATTAATGTCTGATTACATTTAATTAAAGTAATTAGTGCTGCTTCTTAGATGCCCAAAGTGATCTAAAAGTATTCAGAACTGTAATAGAAAAAATCTAGGAAGGTTCATGTAGGAAGTCAAGGCTTAAATTAAATACAGTTACTGTATTAACTGTTTAGTCTGAAGAAATCAGATGCATGAATGTAAGAAAACATTTAAAATTATTCATTATTTTTTATTCCAACTTAACTAGCAGACAAGGTTCTACTTGGGCCTCAGTCATTAATGAAACAGTATCTCCTTTCCCACACTTATGTTGTATTTCCATAAAAATTACTCATGTGTGAAATATGCTGGTTTTTTGTGTGTGGACCTCTGAAGCATTTTAATCAGTTCCTGTACTGTACAGCAGCTACTGTGACTCTCTAGTTTGCATACAGGCCAAATATCACCTCAAAATATCACTTAACAAGGTGCTCCAGCTCCTGGTTGTTGTACCCAAAGCCTGAATATATTGTGTCATCTCTGCTTCCTCTATAAATCCCCCCAAACTTGCACTTCTTGGGAGCTGAGTTGTTGCAAACATATTACACAGACATCAGATCATAAGTTTGTGTCTGATCAATGCCTTCAACCTTCTCCTAACAGAAAATTCAGAGTTTATATCCTCTGCATGCTGCCACACTACAGACAACAGATTTTTGTGTGTGTGTGTTATATGGTGAGGTGGATTACTTATATTTTATACCTGTAGAGGAATCTCTGACATCTTTATTTAGTTTGTATCTTACTGCAGCTGCTCTCTTTTCAATTTACTGGGAACAATTTATATTGAGATAGATGAAGATGCTTGAGCATCAGCATGCCACGAAAGGATGAGGAATTCTCATGGCTTTTACCAAACTTATACATAACAGCAGTGAAATAAAAGCAGCTAGAACAGTAAAGCAAGGATTGAGAGCTATTCTGGTAATGAATACCACGGATTTGCTGAAATAAATACGAGCCTCCCCTCTCCAGAGGAAAGCAAAGAAGGAATGGTGTCCCAGAAGGATCTTCTTCCATAGGGACAGCGAATTTGCAGACAAGCAGAATGGTATTGCCTGCAGGGAACAGTTTGCATTTGTGCTGAGAGAAGCCAACAGTTTTCTAGGATGGGAATAGGGGTGTAGTGTGTAGGATATCTGAATTGCCTGACTGTAATAAAAAGTCATGCTGGACTCAATGGTCTGGGTCCTGGAAGGGCTGTGGACAGGTATCCAGTGTGAAATGACTGGGTCTGAGTAAGGCAAGGACCCTGCTTTAGCAGCAACTATAGAAGTAGCATTTTTTGCATCCAAAAACGTGTAGATTTGGTGCTTGGGGCCATGGTTTAGTTGTGGACCTGCAGTATTGGTTTAAGGGTTGGACTCTATGACCTCAGAGGTCTTTTCCAACCTTAGTGATTTGATGATTGCATAATAGGTATTCCACTACACTCAATTCAGATCTCTGCAGGAATGAAAAACCTTGTGTAGTTGATTTTTGTGTAACAGAGTGAAGAACTAGACAGAAATTAAGAACCTTATTTAAATGGCCACCAGAATGAAGGTGTTCTGGGTTGTTCTGAGCCTTTCTTTAAACAGGAGAAAGAAGCCAGGAAACTTCAAATACAGGAAATAAATAGGGTGGCTGGAAGTAAGGGAGCATTTCCAAAAAATGCTGTCCAAATAAGAAAAATGGAAAAGGTGATAAACTCTGGCAAGTTAAATATAAAACTAAAATAAGACATGCCAGAAGAAGATATTAAAGAGCAATTCTCCGAAGTCTTAAAAGCCACCAATAACTTCTTTAAGAGAATAAAAAGCAAGAACACTGGCTGAGTGTGTAGGACCAGCTGGTGATCAAGTTGCAAGAGCAGTACAGGCAACATTATGTGGCAGTAAAGCTGTGTGAGTTCTTTTCCTTACTGCTCACAAAAAGGTGCCAAGGGATGTTCCTACATGGAGCTTCTTTATGGGGAATGAATCTGAGAAACTGTCCCAGAATCAAGCATCAGGAAAGTGACTTTTAGTATAAACTAAATAGATAAAATGAACAAATTCATTCAGGTCAGACAGAACTCTGGGATGAATACCACAGGACCTTTTACCACTTAAAATCTGCACCAGGTTTGGAGAGACAAAAAGTAGCAAATGTGATCCAATTTTTATGGTGTTTATTTTTATAGATGCTTGTTTTTCCCAAGGTATCTGCTACTGATCCCTGTCAATGACACGAGGTGGAGTATAGGCAAGACAGTCAGGTTGTTTCTGTTTTACTGCATCAAGCCTGTAAACTCCTCTTTGAGGTTTGCTCAACTTGCAAGAGCACAGATTCTCTGAATTTAAGTTTCTCCAGAGTTCATGAATTTAAATGAAAGGTGTCAACTTATCCATGCAGCACAACTTTGTTTGTATTTTTAAGTCTTGGCACTGGCCCTGGCAATGGCATAAAACATCAACAGATTGTTATTTGTGCAGCGATTATTCTTGCCCTGTGTAATTACTGGTCCCTCAGATAAAATCTCAGCTATTTTATTGAGTCTGGGAATTGGAACCACAGAGAGAATCAGTAATCTATGTACATCAATAAAGCAGTCCATTAATTATTTCCACCTACTCAGCTTGAAGAAAATTATCATACTAATGCCTCTGTATAACCACATGACCTGCTCTGCCTCTACATAAAAGCCAAAGGTAAAGTCATAAAGGCTTTGAGAGATAAATCAGGGATACCAAAGAAATGACAGAGTATAGAATGGCATTCATCTCAGTAATCGGTCACAGAAATCTCTAGACTGCAGTAATATTAGACAGTATCACAATAGCTTCAAATTTGAGAACTGAAAGTATTCTGATTTCTTTTTAAGCAGCAAAGCATTGATAGCTGAAATATGTCCTACAGAGTAAGACAGCATTGCCATTATTCAAGAAATAGTAAAAAAATTAAGAATATTCATCAATAAACCTTGAAACATATAAAAAATTAAAATTTTGAAATCTCCAGCAACATCATATTACCTACTGCTAATTCCATACTCATAATTCCATACTGGTCTGTTCAAATGTCATCTTCCCTCTGTATGAAGGATTCTTAATGACAAGAAAAGTTCAACCACTGCACTCGTTAAATGAGATATAACAGAAAACAGGAAGTGGAAAATGAGGATTTAAGATTCTGGAAAGACTTTGTCTTTTAAAAAGCGGCAATTTTCTGCTATGCCTTTAATAAAGACATCATGCAATACCCTCTCCAATTTACCTTTCAAATTATAGCTGCTTACTTATGCCTAATTAAACATTTTCTTAAATTAAGAGTATTACCTGGGAAAAAAGTATTTAGCAATCAAAATTAGTGACCTGTGGCCCTGCAAAGCTTTTGCTTATTTTTATCTACACATTTGGGATAAAAGTGTAGAACACAGTACCACTCCTTTCATTACAGTGATTAAACTAGACTAATTCATTTCTATAAATTATGCTAATCTTGGGGTAAAGAGTAGTTATACAACAGTATGTAATTACATTTTTCTCTGCCACCCTGTGGTGAGTTCACACATACTAAAGCTATACAATCAAACACTAATGGTTCTGAAAAATATAAGTCAGCTGCTTATAAAGGTGTTTACAGATGCTTTTTATATTGAATTTTTTTCTTTTCATTATTCATATTGCAGGAGTAGGAAGCGGTACCTATAGGGAGAGGTATACCCAGGTCCAAAACTAAGCAGGTAGCAATCTTCTAGGGTCAGGGTTACTGAAGTTCTGAAAAGAGAATGTGTTTCCCTCTCATTCTAGTTGAAAAGATACTACAGTTTTGGGGGAAATGGGTTATTCCAAGTAATGGGAGTGAAGGTGAAAGAATTAGCACAACTAGGGAAAAAAAAAAAAAAGGAAATTAAAACAGATTAAGGAACAGTTTCCTTTAAAGGTTAAAAAGCAACTGAGATGTTTAGTGGAGGTGGCACAGATTGCTCATTAA